CAAAAGTAGAAGGTTTCTTGTTCTACCGAAGCACAAATTGGAATAAAAAACTGCAAATTGTAACCATTGGAACAGAACCGTGTGTGTTTTATTTAAAGGTCCCCTAGACCATAATAGGATTGATGTTGCAGACCTGATTTGTTATCTCTGAGAGATTTGTAAATATTGTATTTGAAATTTTGTGATGAATTGCTTCTTGTTTCCCAAAAGAAGAAGGTTGAAGGAAATCAATAATCCCAAAACTCATACACACATGGATTATGTAGAATCTGCAATGTTTGCTCGGAAGCCGATTCATCTATACAAGGCATGGAGCGTATACTAATTCATATGCAATTTTATTTCATAAATATCTCATTGAATTTACATTGCTTTGTTGAGCAATAAAGGAAGAGCTGCAAAGAACAAATCTTGAATTGGAATCTTATAAGGAGAAAATAAAGGAGAATCAAGAGAAGATTAAACTTAACAAGCAGCTGCCTTACTTGGTGGGAAATGTTGTTGAGGTAATTTTACAATCTCCACTCATTATTTCAGTGCAATATTCTATCTCCTTCAGCTGTTCAATAAATGTATGAATCATATCTACTATTTTGAACATGTATTAGCAATCAAGGTTCTACCTTTATTCTCAAAACAGTTTACTGACTCTGTGCTTTGAGGTAGTTTTTTTCTTTTGGAACTTGGCATTCAGTGAAAGTAAGCTCTAATTCTAAATTTTTGTAATTTTCAGATTTTGGAGATGAATCCCGAGGATGAGGCTGAGGAAGACGGTGCAAATATTGATCTTGACTCACAAAGGAAGGGTAAATGTGTTGTGTTGAAGACATCTACTCGTCAGGTGAGATGATTTCTTGCAAGCTTGTGTTTCTGTCTGAAGCTCTGCCTTGTGTGTTTGTAGAGTAAATCATTTAGAGACTTTGTTGAACAATGACATTGTTTTAGGATTTCTATGATTTGTGATTGACCATTTGGAAAGGTTATTACTACTGTTCATTTAACATCAACGAGAAATCTTAAAACTTGTGGCATATGGCCCAAAAAAAATTCCCATTTTTGGAATGATGCATTTGGTTCTGGTAAATACTTATCTTGGTACTGGTAAGCGAGCTCTGGGATTGGAGGTACTTGTATTGAGGATGTACTATACTTTGGAAAGAATTTGGCTAGTTATCCTAGCAAAAGGAATCCGGGATTGACAATAGTAAAGGGGTTGTTAGTCTAATTTTACCTTAGAATGAAGCATGTTTGCATCTCTATTGGTAACCTATTTTTTTAAGGAAAAGGTGAGAATTGTTTGAATTTTGTTTCATTTCTAAGATTGTCAAAATGAAAAGAGAGATAATCTTTCTGCTACTTTCATTTTGGCTACAGACCATCTTCCTACCAGTAGTGGGGCTTGTTGACCCTGATAAGTTGAAACCAGGTGACTTGGTCGGGGTGAATAAAGACAGTTACTTGATTCTGGATACTCTGCCCTCTGAGTATGATTCTAGAGTGAAAGCCATGGAGGTTGATGAAAAACCAACTGAGGACTACAATGACATTGGAGGGCTGGAGAAGCAGGCAAGTCTCAGAGTTGAGCCATGAGTAATGAGTGATGTTTCAAACTTTTTGATGCGTTGTCTCATATTATTACAATTGAACAGATCCAAGAACTTGTGGAGGCCATTGTTCTTCCCATGACGCATAAAGAGCGATTTCAAAAATTAGGCATTCGTCCACCAAAGGGAGTGCTCTTGTATGGTCCTCCTGGGACTGGGAAAACTTTAATGGCTAGGGCCTGTGCAGCACAAACAAATGCCACTTTCCTGAAGCTGGCAGGGCCACAACTGGTTCAGGTATGCAATTTGTTAGTTCACACTTCTTTCCTTCAAGTCAGCTTGATCAAGCCTTGAGATATTTTCAAGTATGGATGTGTTTGATTTCTTTTTATGTAACTTACCAATTTTCAATCTTCTTTGTGATGGATTGAGATCCGCAATAAAGTAATTCACCTTGGATATGTGTAGATGTTCATTGGAGATGGAGCAAAGCTTGTTCGTGATGCTTTCCAGCTTGCAAAAGAGAAGTCTCCTTGCATAATTTTTATAGATGAAATTGACGCAATTGGCACAAAGCGGTTTGACAGGTAATTTAGCTGTTACTATTGTTGCTTTGGTGATGTTTATGGATCTTTTGTGGTTACTAATCTTTTGGGTCGTCAACTGCAGTGAAGTTAGTGGAGACAGAGAGGTGCAGCGAACAATGTTAGAGTTACTCAATCAGCTTGATGGTTTTAGTAGTGATGAGCGAATTAAGGTTTGTTGAGGATATTCATTAAACTATTACATTCACTCTGATGCATTAAATTCCTCACATATTAGCTTTGGTTTTCTAATGTGGGTGCATGCCTAGAAATTTACCAACTTCTCGGGATCTAATCTCACAATCATAACTAGACATTTTTATATTGATGTGGTGGGTTTTATAGTTTAAATACCATGACCAGGTCACTGTAACAGTTTAAATATGTATTTGCAGGTGATAGCAGCAACAAATCGTGCTGATATACTGGATCCTGCCCTCATGCGTTCTGGTAGATTAGATCGTAAAATTGAGTTCCCACATCCCAGTGAAGAAGCTAGAGCTCGCATCTTGCAGGTGTGTGTATATATGGTACTATTCATGCAATTACTTGCATCATGCTGAAATACTAGCAATTCTTTTCCATTGATCATGTAGATCCACTCAAGGAAGATGAATGTGCATGCTGATGTCAATTTTGAAGAACTTGCTCGATCTACGGATGACTTCAATGGAGCTCAGTTGAAGGCTGTTTGTGTAGAGGCAGGCATGCTAGCTCTTCGCCGTGATGCAACAGAGGTGCCTCTCTCTCTCTCTCGCTTTCTCTGTCACTATATTCATATTCGTGAGTTAACTTACATTAATTGGTGAATTGTGTTTTCATTTCAGGTGAACCATGAGGATTTCAATGAAGGCATAATTCAGGTTCAGGCGAAGAAGAAAGCAAGCTTGAATTACTATGCTTAGAGGGTAACCTTGTTGATAAGAGGAGAAAAAAAGCAAAAGCACTCAAAATGGTTTGTTCACAAAGGGAACATTAGCAGAGGGGGCCTTTGTCCTGAAAGACATGTCCAATCCCTCCTCTCCAGGTGAGGATCAAGTTCTACTTTCGCAGACAGTTTTATCATGTAATACTTTTGCCTTGGAACAAATATTGCTACTCATCAGAAATGCTCGATCTGGCAGCCTTCTTTCTTCTCTTTGGTGTATTTTGTACTCTTCAACTTCCAAGAATTATGGTTTTTATTTTGATTTCGTAGTTTACTGGTTTGAATTTTATAGGAAATCTTAGGTGCAGAATTAAGCTTGAACATAAAATTATGTTTCATAAATACGCAAACTAACTCAGTAGAATTAATAGTTCATAAAAATAAGAAATACACTTAACACAATCTCCAAACTCTCTTACTGTAATGTACTAATTCTGCATCTAACTTTTCAAATTCTGCCAAAGATTCAAAAGACTGAAAAACTTAAAGAAAACAAAGACTACAACTGATTACTGAACCTATTTGGGAAAACAAAAAAAAAAAGTTCATCTTGGAGGAGTTGTCAACATTTGACCTCCTTCAGGGCGTAGGCAAAGTAGAGGAATGTTGGATCAGTAGCTCCTTCCTTGTAATAAGCCAGCACTACGCTTCCATCATCATGCATGCTCTCACCCACAAAGCTGCCAATACCCAGATCATGGTAAGCTAAAATCATTTCATTCAATTATAGTGATAAGAGTCAGTAAATAAGAACTGAACTAAACAAATGGGTATAAATCTGCAGAGAAAAACTTACAACTGCAAGTCCCTGAGCTTTGAGAGCAGGAACTTGGTTGCTCCCTCAATGTGTTTCTTAAACAAAATCTGCTTCTCTCCATCCAACTTTGGTGTCAACAGCTTGATGTATCTCTTCATGAATGTCACAAATTGCTTCTTATCAAAAGCAGGTTGTTCCTGCAACCTGAAGGTGTCAACAATGTCGACTACTTTGACAGCTTGGTCGTCGACTTCGTCATCACAGCCACCTTCTGCAGAAGGATTAGCACCAATGTCTACGCTGATTGCTCCTTGCACAACCCACTGTTGAATACAAAATAGTTCAGATGTTTAGTTTCGTTGCACGAATATAACTGGAACAGATAGAAACAGCAACGAAAAACCAATGGAAGCTTAAAGTTTTTGAGGGTCTAACCTTCCCTTCTACTTCCCATAACATGCCATTCTCCATCTCCTTGTAGGGGAAGGAGTCCGACAGAAGCTCGTCGCCTGAAATTTTCATCAAGAAAATCAAGCTTTGAAGTATAAACTACACAATATCGACACTGATGATTAACACAGAATTATAAATAACCACCAGTAAGATTTGTTAACAAATTGAAAATCTCCAAAGGTAAAAAAAAAAAAAAAAAAAAAAAATCATCCATGATCGGAAAAGAAAGTTTCTAAGAAAGATCAATGAAATCACTTCTGAATTCCCAGCAGCCAACCCGAGAAATCAAACTGATCATAACTCAGTCGTTTACGACAAAAGAATTACCATCTTCCGCTTAGCGTCAAAGAAAATTGTACTAATTCAAAATAAAATCGAACTTTGAAACTTAAACAAAAGAGAGAAACCACGAGTTAAAAGAACATGTCAAATAGAAAAAAATTTAACGAAAAACTAAGAGAAAAGGTTTGACGGAAATTTTAGAAACCAAGTCCATCAAAATTCAAAAAACAAGACCCGCCAAAATCAATCCTCAGAAAACTGCAAACGGTAACAAACAGAGGAACCGCCATTAAAGAGACAATCACCTGTAAGAAGATCCTGGTACACTAACATGATTGCGTTAAACCTTTTGAACCTCTTAAAAAACAGAATTACGATGACAGATATCGGAACAAGAGACAGAAATCAGAGCAGGTTCAGGCAGAGTAAGAACGTCTGAACTTGATGAAAAATCTGTTGAGACAACGAGTATTTATAGAAGGAAAAAATCCGACGAGGCGGTGGAGTGGAAGATTCAAAGTTACCAAATTAGACATCTCCTTTTCCGAAAAGACCTCGGATGTCCCTCCGGTTTCCTTTTTAATTATACCCACTGTAATTAAGTTATTTTACACACGTGGCTTGAAGAGAGACTTGATTCTCTACTGCCGTTTTAGAATAGTACTGTTGTATGTGAATCCTTAACCGTCAGATCACAATGTGATTAGTGGGCTTAATAAAAGCTAAATCTATGATCAGCAGGTTTTTTTTTTTTTTTTTTGGCTTAAAAAACTTGATTAGTGGGCTTAATAGAATTTAAGCTCGTACGTCACTAATGTACATGACGTCTTCGTTCGTGAGATCAAACATTTGTTATTGTAAGATTAACAGGTCAGTATTCAACATGTTTATCACGAAAAAAATAAATGTGCTGATTGATTGGTAAATATCAGATTTTCTCTACCGATGTGCTTCTATTCTCATGTTCAGGTATTAAACGATCTCCGACAGTTTTTCATTGACGATATCACGAAAGTCAGTATCCAACATGTTTATCGCGAAGTAAATAGATGCGCTGATTGATTGGTAAATATCAGATTCTCTCTACCGATGTCCTTCTATTCTCATGTTCAGGTACTGAACGATCTCCGACAGTTTTTCACTGACGATATCACGATGGTCAGTATCCAACATGTTTATCGCGAAGTAAATAGATGCGCTGATTGATTGGTAATTATCAGATTCTCTCTACCGATGTGCTTCTATTCTCATGTTTAGGTACTGAACGATCTCCGATAATTTTTTACTGACGATATTACGAGTGTCTCTTGATCCCGGATGTGCACAACGATCTATTGTTATTATTATTATTTTGAAAAAAAAAAAGAGAAAAAGGGATTAGCATTAAACATACTATAATACAAAGTGGCTAGGTATATTCTCTCTGAATTTGGACATCTTTCTCTAATGGGTCAGTGGGATTAGAATAAAGCTGACTAGAAATTTTGACCTATGAAAGCGTATGTCTCTATTTTATATGTAACGTAATTTTATTTATAAATTAAAATAATTAAACGTATGATAAATACACATTTAAATTTGTAATTAATATATAATAATTTAATTATGCGATATTTAATAATGTTTTATAATTTTAATTTACATAATGTATTCAAATTTATAATTATTAATATAATCATTATGTATAAATTCATAAGAGTTACGAATATATGTTTCACATGCATCGTTTGGATTCTTTTAGCATATTTAGAATATAATATATATATATATATATGTGTGTGTGTATTTATGTCTGAACTTGTTATTTTATTTTATTTTTATAATTTTTACAATTTTCTAAATTGATATATAATCTAAAGTTATATAAATATATATATATATATGAATAAGTTAGTTTATATACTTTTTATGTCTTTAATTTGTACGGAATCATAGGCCACAGCCGACATAAAAAGAAAAATAATAAGGCTGTAAAATTAAATTGGCTGGCTCTCTATGGATCCCAACTAATAAATACATTGTATGTATAGTCTGCACTTTTTGGATATTTCCTCTTGGCTTATTATCTGGATATGACATGACCCATCTCAATTGTAATACATACACACACATATACATATATATTATATCATGGGTTTAGAATATTAACATAGATTGATGCCCACTTATGTTGCTTAATATATATAAATATATATATAATACATGTGTGTGTGTGTGTGTATGTATATGTAATGTGAGGAAGATACAACATGGATCATTTGTATATATGACATGACCCATCTTGCCCATCTCAATTATAATACATATATATATATATATATTATATCATGGGTTTAGAATATTAACATAGATTAATACCCACTTATGGTACTTAATATATATATATATATCTTAATTCAGCATTAGATAAGAATTTGAATTTTAAGTTTCTATTATAATTACTTGCCTATATTTTAATGGTATAGATTAAAATTTGATGTGGGTAAATTAAATTGGAGTTGACTAAAATAGTTGGTTACCAACATAATGATATTCTATATGTGTGTGTGTGTATATGTATATGTAATGTGGGGAAGATACAACATGGATCATTTGTATATATGACATGACCCATCTTGCCCATCTCAATTATAATACACACATATATATATATATATATATATTATCACGGGTTTAGAATATTAACATAGATTAATACCCACTTATGATACTTAATATATATATATATATATGTCTTAATTCAGCATTAGATAAGAATTTGAATTGGAAGTTTCTATTATAATTACTTGTCTATATTTTAATGGTATAAATTTGAGTTAACTAAAATTGTTGGTTACCAACATAATGATATTATATGTGTGTGTGTGTGTATATATTGTATGTATATGTAATGTGAGGAAGATACAACATGGATCATTTGTATATATGACATGACCCATCTTGCCCATCTCAATTATAATACATATATATATATATATTATATCATGGGTTTAGAATATTAATATAGATTAATACCCACTTATGGTACATAATATATATATATATATGTGTGTGTGTGTGTGTCTTAATTCAGCATTAGATAAGAATTTGAATTTGAAGCTTCTATTATAATTACTTGTCTATATTTTAATGGTATAAATTTGAGTTAACTAAAATTGTTGGTTACCAACATAATGATATTATATGTGTGTGTGTGTGTATATATATTATATGTATATGTAATGTGAGGAAGATACAACATGGATCATTTGTTTATATGACATGACCCATCTTGCCCATCTCAATTATAATACATATATATATATATTATATCATGGGTTTAGAATATTAATATAGATTAATACCCACTTATGGTACATAATATATATATATATATGTGTGTGTGTGTGTCTTAATTCAGCATTAGATAAGAATTTGAATTTGAAGTTTCTATTATAATTACTTGTATATTTTAAAGGTATAAATTTGAGTTAACTAAAATTGTTGGTTACCAACATAATGATATTCTATATGTGTGTATACGTATATGTTATATCTATATCTATATATATATATATATATATATGTGTGTGTAATGTGAGGAAGATACAACATGAATCATTTGTAGAAAACACCAATGCAAGAGAGGAAGCCGATGATCGACGTTGACTCTTTTCAATCATACACCACCCAAATATATCATAATTTTTCAATTATTTATAATTAATATATTATTATTATTAATTATTTAAATTCTGAAATTTATGTCGCACATAATTTAAGGCTTTACAATTAATTTTTATGTTTTGATTAATTAATTACCAATTTTTAAGGAGACCCCTTTGATTTAAATTTGATTTACTTGCCATCTTAGTTAATTAATTAATTAATTAAATTTGAAAATTTTGAGTTAAAGAGAATTATATGTACATATTTATTGGTGTCTTAATGAATTATATGTACAATATATATATATATACACATTTATTGGTGTATTAATTTGTTGTTCCTATGATTTTTCTCAATATAATTTGAAGATTTAAAAATTTTTTTTTTCATTTTCACCTATATACATATTTTCAAACCCATATAGTTTTCAATGAATTATATATACAATATATATATATATATTGGTGTCTTAATTTGTTGTTCCTATGATTCTTCTCAATATATTTTGTTTGGTTTTTAATTTTTTTTTCTAATTTTGCCTATATATGTTCTTGATAAGTTTTGACAATATTAAAACGCATATTAAAAATATGATACATCAATATCACATTTAAGAAATATCTATAATTTTAAATTTATAATTTTAAAAGCTAATAATTTCAATCTAAAAAATTATTAAATAATAGTATTTAAGCATGATATTTATATAAAAAAATCAAAATATATTAATGTGTGTGTTATAATAATTAATTAATTAATTACATTATATTATATTATTTACTAATAATTTTCATGGAACTAACATATGTTTATAAAATTTATAAAATTAATTATTTTATTATTATTTTTTTAAAATATTAGCTTTAGTATTTTCATGTGGGTTGTGATGATTTCTTTTAGCTCTATAATTAAAAAAAAAAGTTAGTAAAAAAAATCATTCACAATTTTACTTTATTTTAAAATATTTTTCACGTTAAATTTTAACTAAAATATTTTTAAAAAATTAATTTGGAGTCTAACTATATTAATTTAGTGTTATTCGTTATAATTTGTTATTAATTAAAAATTTTAATTTTTTAATACTTTATTTATTTGGTTCAGCGTACTCTGATATAATTTAGAGTAATCATCTATATAACTAATATAATTATATATAAATATATTAATAAATTTTTGGCAATTAAGTTCTTGTATATAACTTCAATTATTTACGTATTTTTATTAAATTCAATTGAAGTATGTATATCTTACTTGAATTGTATCATATTAAAAACATTTAACTTCAAAATATAAATAACATATATATATATATATATAAAGAAAATCTTCAACTATAATGAATACTATATTAAAATTCCAAAGAAAAATGTAATATAACATTTAACTTACAATATAAAAACACATGTAAAATGACAAATTTTTAAGGATTACAATATAATTACAAAATTATTTGAGTTAAATATTTAATATGTCAACTAACTCACATAGCTTAAATAGGAACTAACTATACATGTATAAACTCATAATTTGGTTGACATGAAAATAATTTAATTATTTTAGGGTCCCCTTAAGTGTTAATTTCATATCACATAATAATAAAACGCAGTAAAAAATGTTTAGTAATAAAGTTTTATTTTATAATATTATCTATATTAATTTTTTGTTATTTTTTTAGTAGCGACGCTTAGTTGATGGTAGATAAACGGAGAATAAGGTGGAGGCTCGTAGAGCTCTGTTTGCAAATAGAATGGAACTTCTTCATCGATCAAGCTCATAATTTTTTATCGATGATGGATAAACGGGAAGTCAATAATGGAGGAAAAGGGAATAGGGCGGAGGCTCGTGGAACTCTATTCACAGACGAGATAAGTCTTCCTTGTTGATGAAGCCTGCAACCATGCTTTCACTCGAGGCCATTTGAACAGGAAGCCGATGGTGGATGAATGAAAAAGAGGATAGAGGTTCATGGAACTTCATTTTGCAAAGCGAATGAGACTTTCTCGTTGGTGGAACTTGAAACCATTTTTTTTTTCTAAATGTTTGATGAATGGAAAACCGATAACGAAGATATAAGGAAGAGGGTAGAGGTTAGTGGAGTTCCACTCACAAAGGGACAATGGATGAATAGGAAGTTGATGGTGGAGGAGCAAGGTAGAGGGTGGAGGCTCATAGAACTCCATTCGCAAAGGGATAAGACTTCCTCATCAATGGATCTTGCAACCATGTTTTCTCTTAAAGCCATATAAACAGAAAGCAAATGGTGGAGGAACGAAAAGGCAGATAAAAGCTTGGAGTTCCATTCACAAAGGGGATGGAACTTCCTTATTAGTGGAACTTAGAACCATGTATGCTCTTAGTATTTGATGAACGGGAAGCCAATAGTGGAGGAACGAATAAGAGGGTAGACGCTAGTGGAGCTCCACTCACAATGGGGACGAGACTTCCTTGTCAATGGAACTCGTGATCGATGCTTTCTTTTGACAGTGGATGAAGGGGAAGTCGATGGGGAGATAGTAGAAGCT